ACTAGCAACTAGTAAGAAGAAGCTACTAGGGGCTCCTGGCATCGCTACTAGGAGCATTCCTGCCACTAGCAACTAGTAAGAAGAAGCTACTAGGGGCTCCTGGCCAACGTCCAACCCGGTCCGCCAACTAGGGCGCGTCCAGGGGACTGGGTGAGGCCGGGTTATGCTCACTTGGTACACGCCAACACAATGGTAGCTTGAATCGAAGATGATCCTATCACTATCATGGTCACCTGAGGTTTCACCTGATCGACTCGCGTTCCTCCGACACATCGACTTGCGGCGACTCGACTGCAGGCGACCTCTCCGCGACTCCGGCGCGGGGGGTGTCCTGTGGCTTGCTCTTCTTGGGAGGATTCATGGCCTCCTGTCTTCGCGCGCCCAAGCGCTCGACCGGTTCCCCTCTAGCGCTCGAGTCGGTCGGTCCGGGGCGATGTGGTCGGTAGATCTATCTAAGTGACCTCACTGAGGGTGCTGGTCGGTCAAGCACCCCGCGTCCCGTCACGCCTGGAAGCAATGAGACTTATGGGAACAGGAACCGGTGATTCTGTTTGTGTCTTCCAAGTGTGTAATTATTTATATATATGTATCTATCTCGTACTATCGTCTGCATCTATCTGCTATATATAATTAAACACAGTGAGTACAGCTGAAACTTCATCAACACTGACTTCTGGAACAAGCTTACTTCATCGACACTGAGCGGTTTACTTGTTGACGCTTTCACTCTTTTCTAATTTCTACACCCTAAATTCAATTAAATTCAGTGGGGTTCCGGTCGAAGCAAAAGCAGTCGCCCCACACCACCACACCAGGAGCCCTCTTCCTCCGTCCCCATCCCGCTGACCGCGCGGGGGGGAAGGCTCTCCCAGACTCTCCCTCTGACTCCCTTGGCGGTCTCCGAGCCGCCCCACGAGCTTCTCCAGCGAGGTCCAGGGATCTTCCAACGAACGCAGGGGCATCTTCGGTGCCAACGGTGCGTCCTCGCGACGGGGCGCGACGGGGCCAACGGGCGTGACCAGCTTCCTTTGTGTGGGTCGGTCTGCGAGTAGATGTGCAGTGTATAGTAGACGCATCGTGACATGTTGACCCACGAAGTCCTAAAGACATCTAAAGACTATTTAAGGGCATCACCCAGAATTAAGAAAGTTCCTGCTCGGGGCCGGTGTCACCTGTAGACCATTTGAAATTAGTCTTGAACTTCCAGGGTTTAAGTCATCTTAACATGCTGGGCAGGGCGGGTGTTACTAAATCTGTTTGGATGATGTCGGGTGTTCCTGGACTGATGGGGTCTAAAAATGGTAACTCAACTTGGAGACATTTCAAGCCGTCCAAACCAATGTTGATGCTGTCCGAAGCTTATTCTTCGTGTCCCATTATATCTATTGATGCATGTTGATGCTGTTTGGACTCAACTTCGTGGTGGATGATGGGCATAGGCAGGCATAATCTCAAAAGCCACCCTGAAGAAACCTACCCCATCACAAACCAACAGAAGCATTCATGGATACCAAAGAGATTATTCTGCACCTTGACCAAAGGGTGCCTTGGTCCCTGCCGCACTGCTGCTTCACCCGGTTCCACTGTGCCTTTGACGCGCGGTTGGAAGCCGGTCTCCGCCCATCACCTGGGTGTCTGAGAAGCCCTTTCGGTTTGACGAAGATCGAAAAACGGGTGGCACGGTGGCGCCTCACTGGTGAGTGTTGCTGATACGTGGCATCCGCTTCTTAGCTCCGAGCTATTCCTAGCTCATGCTGCTCTCACTTTGCCTACTTGAGCTGAGAGGTCTTGGTCTTCAGGACCCCCAGGACCCCATGGGCGATAGGCTGCCGACACTCCGGAGAACCCCAGGCATGGCAAAATACAGTATGTACAGTATGTTCCCTTCTTTCCGTCCCATGCACTTGCCTTGGGGCTCTCGGTCTCCAACCCTTTTTCATCCTTTTTCCGAAATCCCTTTGTCACCCAGTCGGTTAGCTGAGCGCATCGGCTTTGTGGAAAGGCATCAGAGTCCTGCAGCTGCTCAGCCACTGATAGGATGAACCTGGGAACGTACGGTGTCGAGTACGGTGTACTTAACCCTGCGAACGGTCACACCCTCCGCCGATGGCGTTGTGGGTGTTGGAGCGATGGCATTCTCAATGAGAATCTGCGAACATCGCACTTTCGGCGACAAAACCAGCATCATCTTCGACCGACAATGATCGATCGAAGCCAGCTCGAGCTCCCCCAAATAGGGAACTGTTTTGTGTGTGTGCTTTTCTTGTTTTAATTGCGCCAGCGGCCAACGGCCGGCCGCCCTGGAAGATGGCAACAAGATGGGGCAAAACCAAGTAAAGATAGGCAAAACCAAGTCGCTCAGGAAGTGCCTCACCTCTGGTAGACTCCTCTGGTGCCTCACCTTCCTCACCTTCCTCACCTTCTGTGCGAACATCGCACGATTCGAGGGAATGGGGGCGAGTGGTCGCAGAAAGAAGTCCACCCGGTGTCCCTGGCAGATGCCACTCCTCATCCCGGCCAAGTGAAACCCACTTTTTTGCGCCAACAAGCAAACGCGAAGTGACCAAAGTAAGCATGAAACGATGGCGGGCAAAGGCTTTTCTGTATACTGTATAGTATATACTAGCAAAGGCTTTTTAGCATGTGACAATATACTATATACTGTATCATTTGCTTATCGCCATTGCTGAACTGCAAAAGCTTTTTGAGGGGCTTTGCATACTATGCAAGCATTCCCAACTATGTACAGTATGCCCTTTTCCGGGTGTATACACTCTGTGGGGTTCTGACCTCCCTGTACCGACGCGCAGAGCAATCTATCGAAGCTCAGCCCCATGCGAGGTGCAGTACGTGGGGTTCTCCCACGTGGAGATCTTGGCGGAGAAGGTTGGAACATCCACGAGCAGCGAATGAACCCGGTGAAACATGAGAGCTGGGGCGAAGGACGAATGAAGCACCTGACAATGGTGTAGTTCTCCTTTAAAAGGGAAGATGTCCAACATCTCCGACCAGCAAGCAAACGTGACTTGAAGTTGGATAAGTTCGTTTAGGGTAAACAAGGGGTTCCCTTCTTTCTCGCCCATGCTGAACCCCGGCTGAGCAAGAAATTGAAAGCTTGACAAATGACAAATACCAGCGGGTCAGGTGGGTCGATGGCCTTTTCACTTTCAGACCACCCAAAGGTCATGGCCACATGGCTGAAGACCCTCCCAAGGCCGAAGTATGACCGGATGTGGCCTGCGAATGATGTGGAGGCTGTGGTGGAGGAGTCTTTTTTTCCCCTTCACCACGGTGCACCAAGCCGACGCAAATGACCTTGATATACTATTCATGTGTGGCTACACGAAGGCCCACATCACCTACGCCTCGAACCATCGCGTCGAACCGCGATCCATCGCCGGGCTCCCCGGGCGCCAGTGTGCGGGTTGTGATAGTAGTGCCCTGTGCTTCATCCGAATCCCCGACGATCGAACCGTGGGTCGAGACCGCGCGGTCGCTTCGCGTCCCCCATGTCGGTCCGGCAGGTGTTGACCATCAAATGACATCAAAAAGGTGAAACGGCATGTGCCCCCAAAACAAACGTTAAAGCATATTTATGATGTTGTGTCGGTACGGTTGATCCAGCACAAATCGTAAGAACGTATGTCGTATGTAATGTACAATTTCACACGCTTCAACAGGATTCAGCCTTTCTACATCTGTTGGGGACTGCGAGCAGGAATGTGAGCGGGGCACTGCAAGAGGCGCGTTTAGTTCCCAGCGGTGCTCTTGCCCTTGCATTATGAGCGATTGCCAGTCTATCCTTCAGGATAGAAGATCAGGACCAAAACAGTGACGACCGAGGCCCCGCGGAGAGGCAGCCGCAGCGCTCTTTTTGGCGTTTGCCGAGATTTCTTCCCTTTGTCAGAGTGCTTCTCAAGCCTGGGGCTGCCTTGCCAAGTACGAGTGCCGACATTCAATGACATGGCTTTGGGGGAAGCCAACGCAATTCCACGGTGTAGAAGATGTCTAGAACGGAAGAGGAGAAAAAAAAAAAAGGAAAACATCTTCAATTGATCTAAAACCCTTGAGGGTCTGCCATGGTCTACCCCACATCACCTCAGGACAGGGAACTCCTGGTCCCAGTGCTGAGAAACGCCCCGAAGGGTCAGGTTCGTGTGGCCGAGGGTCGGGCACCACCGCCGGAAGTTTGCCGGCATCTTTCAGGTGCCGTCGCTTCTGCCCCACGCGAAAGAAGAAAAGCGGAGACGCTCCAACTGCGAGCCGTGCTCGACGTGCGGTGGACGTGCCCCAACAAAACACGCACAAAAGACTCGACCAAAATGCATGGAACACTCTTGCTTCACCAGCTGCTTTGAGGTCTCGCTCAGCTGGGTCGGATGGGACCCCACCCCAACCCCAACTGCAACTACGATGGTGAGATTCACCATGAACATCCTAAAACCCATTGAACCTGCTCCTCATTTCAACAAGTCAACCAACACGCTCAATAAGTTGTTTCAAGTTGCTGGACAGACATCCAGTGGCACATGTTTCGAAAACAAGAAGCAAACATGGGCGATCGGTGAAAGCTGTATTTTCCTCAGGCTTGGTGAAGGCTGGGCATCACCCAGAAGGGCTCGTTCTCCGTTTGAGGCCTCGAACGTCCGGTCAAAGAGCAGGTTCATGTCACCCTCAACGGCTAGTCATTGGCTAGTCGAAAGCAGTGGAAAATTGGCGAATAGGCAGGTTTTAGAGCTCACGTCCACGTCCAGATGCTCACATCAACTCTGGAGCTCAGGATGTTGGGGGCCGATGCCCAAATCCTTCAAACTCCACACAAACCGGCCATCTCAGGTTCTTCCATGGGCGGCAGTTGTTCACAGCACACAGCTCCCACCCTTCCCCTGTTTTCTGCAGCCGGACCTGGGGTCCGGATGACGAGGCAGTCACGAAGGTAGTTGAAGGATGTTAAAGGACAGTCGTCTTCCTTCAAGGGGCAGCTGGTGTCCACTTCCACATCCCCATACCTGACCCATGGTGCTTCGGACGTGCCCAAGTGACTTGAAGATGCTGCTGAAGAACGCCTGGGCAAAAACAACGACGCAGCCAGGGAGTGGGATATGAGGCAGGTTGCTTGGGCTTTAGGCACAGGTCACAAATCTGCATCCCACAATAAGCAGGGCGCGTCAAGCACAAGAATGATCTGATCCGCTGTGTGGAACCTTCTTCCAGCACTGAGGTGTGGACGCAAAGGAAACCTCGCGTCCGCGAGCTAAGGCACGCGGGCCATCAGAGAGGTCTCGAGCGACCGGTGATCGGAGACTCTGAGAATGCATGTTGCTTCCTTGTGTATTTTCCGTTCTGGTTCGTGAAGCCAATCCTCACTGACGATCACTCACGCCTACTGACTCTCCACGCGTCGGCGTCTACTGGGCCATGTTCAGCACAAGAAGCTGAAGTGCGTTGTCAGTGGATGCCGCATCTCCCTCGACACGTAGCCACCGTCCTCGTTCTGGACACAATGGGTCCAGTAGTACCTGGCTGAACCACTTCAGAGCTAAGAGAGGAAAACAGGGTCATATAATATCCGGTTATCGAATAAATATAGAGGTTCGGCTGCCCCAACTCAGCGGATCAAGCATGGTCAAACTAAATATGATTGGCATATTGGCTTGCAGTCCGGACACACCTGTTCGAACATCGAACATAGAAGGTTAAGCGTTCAAACGTCCGAACCCCTGAACGGTTTGCCAAGCTTGTATGATCTTATGTATGGCCGCGTTCTCTGTGACTGTGAGGATGGCACAGAGCATTGCCTCATCAACAATCGCAACCAGTTTTTCACCAACGGACCCTCTGACCCAGAAAGAGCAGCATGCAAAGAGTGGCAAAACACGAGCAGAAACTCTTTAAGTGGACCCTCCTCTCCTTATTATTTCATCTGATTTTCTCCCATGGTCGATCACGAGTCCTGCACCCCGTCTATCTCCGAACGTCAATTCCCCGCCCTCTGGGTTCCCGGCAGTCTCACGAAGAGCATGGTGAACCTCAGCGGAGCGAGCCCATCGGGTCTTCGCGAGCGCAGCAGCTTGGGCGATCGGGAGCCAAGGGGTTCGATCAAGTTTGGGTGTGAAATTTCAGACATTCCATGGCACTGCACTCCATGGCACAGCATAATCTTTGTAATATGCTAATGACTCTTGATGTTAATATACATTGAAATTTGGAGTCCCGATCCGGAGAACGTCCCGGAGAATGTGCGCTCTTCCGAATCACGAATCCCGAATCCCGAATCACGTTTTTGCCATTTTCGCCCAAAAAA